GAAAAATGTGTAACCGAATCATTATACAAAATTGGCATTGTAGCATTAATGCTAAATAAATCTTCAACAAATAAACAAACAAACAAACAAAGGAACATCAAACTTCAAAAGTAAAAGCTTCGAAGTCATATCTCTTTCAAATGTGTTTAGATGTGTTGTATAGAGGGGAAAAACTAAAGATTCGCATTCGTAATCGCAAATGTCTAAAAATTGATTCAATACAAAGGCAACAGCATCTTCAACAGATTTGAAATGTTCGTCGCTGCATACGCGGATGATTCAACTTCACTACATCATCTCTACAAGTGTGTGCTCGGATGGTGAGCCTTCATCAGTGATGGCGTTTAAGTGATAATTTGTCACCATTTCGATGCAGACAATGCGTCTCCAATGATGTAGATGTACATAATAAGATAAGTCAGGTTAGGTTTACGCGCAAACGTCGTAACAGTGGAAACTATGAAAACATTGTGGTTAAATAGGGAAACCGATGAACTATGTTATACCCTAGTTCACGAGTATCCATCACTCTTTGACGTCTACTGAGGTGAACAGCTGATCAGCAAGTGACATTTTTGTGTTAGTCTGCGACGTTGGCAATAATGAATCGGATGTAAAACTAGTAAAACTGGTTTGTTTTTTGTATGTCAATGAACCTCTCTAAATAAAAGAGCTGTTAGCAAGTACAAAATCAAACTGTAGCGTACAAAAAACAATACAAAATACCGCTCTGACTACGTGACGTTGACAGAACCGTCAGAATTATGTGTCCTGTGCCGATATGGAGAATTTTGAGGTACTACTAGATAATGAGCTGTCATTCTACCGTGATGGATATTCGTGAAGTAGGGTATAGGGTTCATTTTGTTCAGAGATGTAAGAAGATATTTCGCCGAGTACTGTATTTATAAAAATGTTGTCTAATACAGATACATGTCGCTTGAAATTGCACAGGTAAGTTAACTGATGTCATAACGTAACATCAAATCAGAAAGTACAGTAAGAAGAAGTAATAAATGACCAATTGTGCTACTCCTCACGAATGACCGGTAACGGGCTTGTAAACCAAAATATTCACGATGCTCACCCTTTTGTTTTATTCTATTTTAGAAATGTTCATTATTCATATATTTATTTTTTTTACTAACCACTCGAAAATCACTTTTATGGGCGGTGCATATGCAAGCGACTAACAACTAACATCTGATGTTGCATACATTTTCTACATTGTTTATATCACATGAATATCAAGACGTATACAATTGCAATTGTATACGCATATAACAATGGTGTATTTTACATGGTGCGCCCATCACTGATCCATAAATCCATATCTGCAAATATTTACCTGACTCATGTTGCACATTTTTAAGTAGAGCGACCTTCCATATATCTAAGCACCCTTGGACATTATCAAATTCGGAGCTGCTAAACCAACTCCGATACTTCCTAATGCCAGATACCAGCCCCGCCACTGCTTCCACTGCTTGGATCCTTCCGTGGAAGCGGAAAAGAGGGGTAGGGGGTGATATTCGTACCATCCACCATGACGCCGACGTCGCTTGCAAATAGTTTCAGAATACCCGTGGTTATTAATTACGGGCATTCCACATTATTATGCGGGAGACAACACCACCGGGGCAGCAGAGGGTTGAGGGTTGGTTTTTTGTACGGGGAGATGGCGTGACGGGTATGGCGAAAAATAGCCATGTGGACGATGACAGACTCACTACCTGGATTTATGGGTGGCAAGAAAATTTTAACTTGCTAGATTGAGTCCCATAATATACCAAAAAATGGCATCAAGTAGTTTGGTTCTGCGCCTCCAATAAAACCAGATTAGAAATAATATGGACGGGTGACGAGTATGGTACAGGATGAGGACTAACTCTAGTTAGACTCATGGTTGACAACAAAGTTTGATGTTGTTGAACCGAGTGGAATAGTATTCTAAAAAATGACGTCAAGTAGCTTGACTTTGCACCTCCAACGTAATACTCAAATGAGCTTAGAAATAATGAGAGAGAGATGTTGCTGATTGTGCATCTTTTCAGAGAATTCTTCAGATATGCACATCCATCAAAAATACCAAAATACACAATATTTATGTCTAAATTATTTTCATATTTATCTATCGACCCCTAGGTCTGACTTCAAATTCGTGTTGAGCTGGTAAAAATACAAGGAAAAAATATAGCGGACGATTAGCACACACCACTTTTTTATATTAACCACATGTGTTCCTTTTGAAACCAGTTGAAACCCTATATGTTATTCTACTGTTAGGCCGGCGATATTTCTGTTTGTATCCACCGCATGTGCGGCGATCGGTTTAGTTCCCCCCACTACGCACTTCGCTCCCGGAAAGCAAAACATTAATGGAATAAATAGTGAATAAATACGTACTGAATTTTGCATCTATAATCGCTTGTTACATTTCACGTGACATTGTATACATCGTTGTCTATGCGTACGCAATGGTAATTGTATACATTATAATAATTTTCATGTAGACAATGTAAATAATGAAGACAATGTATACAATAGCAAATATACTTTTAAATAAGTTAGGATCAATTCGAAATGAAAATACATCCTGGAAATAAAATTCGCTCATTTGACTAATTTCATTTAGCATCGTCAATATTTAAGACCATTACCGGTCAATCATAAGGAATAATACACATGCATCAGTTTTTAGTTCTATCAAATGTCAATTGATTTTGTATTGGCTTAAGAATTAATTAACACCTCCTTCTAACTGTGCTGATGAATTCAGAACCAGCAGCAGCTTCAGGGAAGTATGACTAATTTAGGGTGATCTATTTCCTCTGCCTTCCAAAGTGCAAGAAGTTTTATTACGCTCTAAAATGGTAAAATAGCGCGTCTACGGTGCGCTCGACCATACTGTCTTTATAGTTTTTGACGTTTGCGGGTAATCCTAAACCCGCTTATGCTTGTCTTGTTTACATGGTATACGCATTTCATACATTTTCTACTCATCGAAACGTAAGCAATTAAAACATCCGCCTAAAGTAAACGCCCATCACTGCCAGTCACCGTTAATCTCTCACATATCACAGAAACAGCTCTGAATAAAAATGCTGCTGTGGCCGTCAATTTATATCCTTTATCGAGGCTGTCACTCGTTCTAAACTTGTCTCTGTGGCAATATCGCGTCACAATAAAATCTAATAAAAAGCTGTCGGAGCCTTCAAGCTGAAGCAGCTTCAGCTCGGAGAGGTGAATTTACTTTTAGGAAATATATTGTGAGCGAAAATAGTGAAAGGAAAAATGGGATATACGCTTAAGCTCCTATTTGGAATTTGGAAAGGTCATTATATCGGCGTATCGGCAATATCGGCGTATTTTGCCGATACATGAATTGGCCAAAATGCCTGCCCATATGCCGATACATCCCAGTCATTACAAATTACAAAGCTTTAATGCTTAAAGGAAAGCATAATATATATGAGAGTATATTTTCATTTTCATAAGGCACAAATTGCCCAATCGACTTTTGACCTGTTTTGATTGAAATTTTTGTCGTAATATTACCAGATGGGCGGTGCTAGTGCAAACATATTATATTGGGTTATATGGAACTTGATGCAACTAAATAATAACAAGTAAGACGGGATGCACACAAGAGAGGCCTATGGCATGAAATGAGAATGCAACCAGATTGATTGAGCTGCAATTTTATCTATTATCTATTTTCTTAATATATCTATATTCGTCCAACTGACCCAAAATCGCATTTACTATTCTTTAGCCGTAAACAGATAGCCTAGCTTTTTCTAAACAGATGTCGCAGTTGACGAGATGTGTTCAAAGCCTCAGTGATCCAGCTCCGACTAGCTGAAATGAACACTGCTCTTTGCTAAAGCTCGGCCATTCATCGAAATTGGATGAGCACTAGTGCGAGTTTTGTTAGTAAAGGTGGTATTTTATTTTGCAAGCGATAACCTGTACCAGATTGTTGTTAACCCAAGCAGTGATAACATCCAGGACTCTCGTCAGACAGGAAGTCGCTGCTAGTCTTTTTTCTCCAGTTCTCCGGCAATTGTCACTATGAATTCCTACATGTACAGTGCTGTCATCAGCACTGCTGTGCATCGTATTGATAGTACAGAAATGAGGGCGTTGATATGTATAAGGAACAATGTCGGACCCAAGACCTCTCCTTGGGGAACACCCAAGTCGACATTGTGGGATGAAGAGGAGAACCCGTCGTTTACGATGGATATCTTGCAGCCACAGAAGAAGTCAGCCACCCATTTGCAAAGCTTCTCTGGGCTACCTGTAGTTTTAGAAAACGATTTTTTAAATATACTCTTTCAATAATTAATTTTTTTTTCTATTTGAACTTAAAGTCAATAATGCTTAATATTACGAAGTAAATGTTACATTGTAAAAAATCAATTTGTCTATTTCTCAATAATAATAATGAGATGGGGACTGTATTGTATCATTTGAAAAGTGACGTTGGCTTGGCGGGGTTCTGCGCCTCCAATAAAACCAGATTAGAAATAATATGGACGGGTGACGAGTATGGTACAGGATGAGGACTAACTCTAGTTAGACTCATGGTTGACAACAAAGTTTGATGTTGTTGAACCGAGTGGAATAGTATTCTAAAAAATGACGTCAAGTAGCTTGACTTTGCACCTCCAACGTAATACTCAAATGAGCTTAGAAATAATGAGAGAGAGATGTTGCTGATTGTGCATCTTTTCAGAGAATTCTTCAGATATGCACATCCATCAAAAATACCAAAATACACAATATTTATGTCTAAATTATTTTCATATTTATCTATCGACCCCTAGGTCTGACTTCAAATTCGTGTTGAGCTGGTAAAAATACAAGGAAAAAATATAGCGGACGATTAGCACACACCACTTTTTTATATTAACCACATGTGTTCCTTTTGAAACCAGTTGAAACCCTATATGTTATTCTACTGTTAGGCCGGCGATATTTCTGTTTGTATCCACCGCATGTGCGGCGATCGGTTGTCTATGCGTACGCAATGGTAATTGTATACATTATAATAATTTTCATGTAGACAATGTAAATAATGAAGACAATGTATACAATAGCAAATATACTTTTAAATAAGTTAGGATCAATTCGAAATGAAAATACATCCTGGAAATAAAATTCGCTCATTTGACTAATTTCATTTAGCATCGTCAATATTTAAGACCATTACCGGTCAATCATAAGGAATAATACACATGCATCAGTTTTTAGTTCTATCAAATGTCAATTGATTTTGTATTGGCTTAAGAATTAATTAACACCTCCTTCTAACTGTGCTGATGAATTCAGAACCAGCAGCAGCTTCAGGGAAGTATGACTAATTTAGGGTGATCTATTTCCTCTGCCTTCCAAAGTGCAAGAAGTTTTATTACGCTCTAAAATGGTAAAATAGCGCGTCTACGGTGCGCTCGACCATACTGTCTTTATAGTTTTTGACGTTTGCGGGTAATCCTAAACCCGCTTATGCTTGTCTTGTTTACATGGTATACGCATTTCATACATTTTCTACTCATCGAAACGTAAGCAATTAAAACATCCGCCTAAAGTAAACGCCCATCACTGCCAGTCACCGTTAATCTCTCACATATCACAGAAACAGCTCTGAATAAAAATGCTGCTGTGGCCGTCAATTTATATCCTTTATCGAGGCTGTCACTCGTTCTAAACTTGTCTCTGTGGCAATATCGCGTCACAATAAAATCTAATAAAAAGCTGTCGGAGCCTTCAAGCTGAAGCAGCTTCAGCTCGGAGAGGTGAATTTACTTTTAGGAAATATATTGTGAGCGAAAATAGTGAAAGGAAAAATGGGATATACGCTTAAGCTCCTATTTGGAATTTGGAAAGGTCATTATATCGGCGTATCGGCAATATCGGCGTATTTTGCCGATACATGAATTGGCCAAAATGCCTGCCCATATGCCGATACATCCCAGTCATTACAAATTACAAAGCTTTAATGCTTAAAGGAAAGCATAATATATATGAGAGTATATTTTCATTTTCATAAGGCACAAATTGCCCAATCGACTTTTGACCTGTTTTGATTGAAATTTTTGTCGTAATATTACCAGATGGGCGGTGCTAGTGCAAACATATTATATTGAGTTATATGGAACTTGATGCAACTAAATAGTAACAAGTAAGACGGGATGCACACAAGAGAGGCCTATGGCATGAAATGAGAATGCAACCAGATTGATTGAGCTGCAATTTTATCTATTATCTATTTTCTTAATATATCTATATTCGTCCAACTGACCCAAAATCGCATTTACTATTCTTTAGCCGTAAACAGATAGCCTAGCTTTTTCTAAACAGATGTCGCAGTTGACGAGATGTGTTCAAAGCCTCAGTGATCCAGCTCCGACTAGCTGAAATGAACACTGCTCTTTGCTAAAGCTCGGCCATTCATCGAAATTGGATGAGCACTAGTGCGAGTTTTGTTAGTAAAGGTGGTATTTTATTTTGCAAGCGATAACCTGTACCAGATTGTTGTTAACCCAAGCAGTGATAACATCCAGGACTCTCGTCAGACAGGAAGTCGCTGCTAGTCTTTTTTCTCCAGTTCTCCGGCAATTGTCACTATGAATTCCTACATGTACAGTGCTGTCATCAGCACTGCTGTGCATCGTATTGATAGTACAGAAATGAGGGCGTTGATATGTATAAGGAACAATGTCGGACCCAAGACCTCTCCTTGGGGAACACCCAAGTCGACATTGTGGGATGAAGAGGAGAACCCGTCGTTTACGATGGATATCTTGCAGCCACAGAAGAAGTCAGCCACCCATTTGCAAAGCTTCTCTGGGCTACCTGTAGTTTTAGAAAACGATTTTTTAAATATACTCTTTCAATAATTAATTTTTTTTTCTATTTGAACTTAAAGTCAATAATGCTTAATATTACGAAGTAAATGTTACATTGTAAAAAATCAATTTGTCTATTTCTCAATAATAATAATGAGATGGGGACTGTATTGTATCATTTGAAAAGTGACGTTGGCTTGGCGGGGTCTTGAACCATTGGAAAAGGTATACAACTGTCATGCTAACCAAGGTATATCTATAAATAAATCACATGATGTTATGCGTGTAGTCTGCGTGCATGTTCCGGTGAACATGTAACAGACAGTACATATTTCAGCTAGTATTATTATATGGAATGTACTAAAAACGTATATAATTGCGTCACGCTTAGGTAAAGGCGTGCAAAGGGATGTGTAATGAATTATGTAACTTCCAAGAACTAGAAGTTTAGTTCTTGGGTGAATATGTGGCAGTTAAGTTATACGTCGGTAGTATTGCAGCTTAGAATATATATTGCGACCCAGAATAATATGCCAATCTCTCCTATGTACTCATTTAGAACACCAGAGAGGGACTAGCCCTAATCTTAGCCCCTATTTTACCTGAAATAGCCTACCGTATAGCTACTATACTAGCTTTCTGCCTCGCGGTTTTACCAGCGGAATGTGTAGGTGGAGCCCTACCAGTAACCAAATATCAGTTGGCTGTCAATTGTTTAATGCAGTATTAAGCACAAAGCATGATCGGAATTTATAGCATTGCTTAAAGGCAATTTTTTGTGTCAGTTACAGTTTTAAGCATACGAAGTCGCGGGTAACAACTGGTGCAAAATAAAACGTCCGTGTCGCTTGACAGTCACAGGTTGAGTGGGACGATGGATGGCCGCGCTGTTACAGTCTTGATACTGGCGATTGAGTTTTTTGGTACTTGTTATTACAGTTGATTGCAAAATCGACCATCAGTTCGCGGATGAAACCATGCCTATAACCTTCCTCGGGTATCAGTTATTAGGTGTAAACATTTTTACGCCTCTCCGTATTGTGGTTCAGACGTGATGCGTGCAGATTGAACAATCACATTCACTTATAAAGAAGACGCCACTAACAGCTTCAGTGATTTTAGTACATTGAGTAACAAACATCACATTTATAATATTAGTAGGGATTGCGGCGCCTAAGCAGAGATCTGAAAGATCCCAGCGCTATGTGTTAGGCAGCATCAGAGCACAAAAATGAATTTAGAAATCTGACCTGTAAACAGAGTGCTTGGTTTTTTTACTGTCCAATAGATGGCGCTAAGACCTTCAATCCTCTTTTGGCGCCTTAGCAATTGGGTGTCGTCAAGTAGAATACGTTACTCAGTACCTGAAGATAGCTAAAAAGGGATTGACGATCCCAGCGCCACCTATAAGACAGTAGCTGAACCAGACACTCTAATTCTATTCAAATTAGCTTTCTAAACTATTTTCGGTTGATTTAGTTAACAACATTTATGGAGACGGTTATTCTGTGATCGATTAATAAAATCATCATTATTTTTTGACAATGATGTTTTTATTTGTTCCAGATGGTGGAACCAGTGACAAGTCGCTAGTGAGACCAACTGCTCAGATGCATGTGGCCAACCTCGATGACTCCTCTTCGGAGTCCAGTGGCAGAAGCTTCGTTATTCTAAGAAATACCAAGACAGCTGACGGTGGACATATTTTGTTGAGGACAGATACAATCAAAAAGGCGAAAAATGGAGTCCGCCTGGATGAAAACGAGTAAGTTCAGTCATTTCAATAAGAGCCGTATCGTCAGTCCTTCCTACAATTATGGGACGCCTTTATGGCCTCCTTGATTTGCATAGTTCTCCCTGTCCTTCAGAAAGGCGCTCTATTTTGAGGTTATATTATAAATATCTATTTGTAACAAATTGTTCATGGTTTTGATTTTTATCATCGGTCTTATCAGCCTGAAATTTCCTACAACTTTAAAAGAAAACATAACTAGGAAATCGCTGACGCTGACAAGAAACAGCAGAAATCTAGGAGTACCCCAGTCTTTCTGAAGGAAGCCTATGAAAATCAAGTAGGTCATAAACGCGTCCTATAATTGTAGAAACGGCTCACGATAAGGCTCTAAGGCTATATTCTTTATTGATTTTATGTACCCAGAAGATGTATATATTGAGTTTACAAAACTGACACTAGTTAGTCAGTTCACTAGTGCTCCTTGAGTTGTTTAAACTTTTGTTTTGATTGAAAGCGCAGTGGAACAACAGTTTTATTTTTCCTTTTTTCACCCGAGTATGTTTTATTATAGATTTGAAGTAGAAAATCATGCGCTCATATAAAAATAAGTTAAATATCCGAAAAGGAGCTAATTTTGGATATAATTGCCGAGATTTCGAATTTCCGGCTTTCAGAAAACAAACAAGTACTAAAATAAAAATAAAACTGTCGGTAAACTTGATATTTGGGTTATCTTCATGGCCGAAAACCCCGCTTATATGCTACGATCCTTTAAATTACAAACAATATTTACGTACAGTGGTTTTTATGTCAAGCATAGATCATACTGAATCTAGTTTATCTACAGAAAGTAACCATAACGTCGCTATCTCAAATAGTGCTGGGTAATTCTTTAATGCCGTTTCTGTGGTCTCCTTACACTATTTTCTCTTCCAGCACAACTCCTAGCGCAACCTTAGTCAGCAACAACCACCGCCAACTGCTCCTCCATTCCCAGCAAGGCGTCCTGGTGCACTCCGTAAAGCGCCTCCCTTCAGGTACCATCCTGCTTCTGGGAGGTAACTCAGGAGGCGGCGAAGGCGGTCACATCCTCATACAGACCTCGCAAGCTGCACAATCGAATCCGTCTCGTAACAGAGAGGAGGAGCAACAACGCCGTGGTAGCGTGGAGGGAGGCGGCGATGATATATTGGTGAAGGCTTTGAAGGCGATTGAGGAGGGCGGATCTAAGAGTGGAGGGGGTGCTGATACGACTGGAGGGAGTGGTTGCGTGAGGGCAGCGCCTTGTACCTCAGGTGAGTGATTCATTTTTCCTCCCCCCCTACCTCCCAATGTGTACTTGTACGGTTTTGAAGTTTTCCTTTAGGTTTTGGAAACACATTAAATTGTTCATGCGCAATTACGTTTTCATATACCTAGTTTCTCAAAATTATTGGCTTCACCGAATTTGACGTCATTTAGCAACCGTCATGTTATTTGGTTGAAACCTTACGAACTAATATAAACAAAATTACATAAATTCATAGGTTTCTAATTTCTTAGTGCTATATTGATCAATATTGTATTTTGTGACGTTTCTTATGTTGTACATTAGTTAACGGGTTTCCTACTTTTCCTTGAATTGCTCGTCCTGAAAGAGGACTTTTACGTTGTAAGTAGTTTCTCCATCGGTATTTTGTTTTAGCATTTGAATTTTTCCGTATACAGCTAAACCTGGTTAACTTGGCCTTGTATACGTGAGAAACTTCTACTACTGACAATTGAAATGAAATTCCGGCACCCCTGCATTCAAATTAGTCTGTTACTGGGAACGTTCTTTGATTGCGATTTAATCACATACATTTTTCGATGGGTCCGTATACATGAGATATATTATCAGGTATAGAGCTGTTATGGCATGTTGGTTCCAAAACATTCTACTTTCTTACGGTACATTCCGATCTCACCCTCTATGAGACAACTGCTATTTCAAACCTGCTTTTTGGGAAACTGGGTTGCTTGACATCCTGGTTAAACAGTTCTCACCTTTACTTCTTCCGTTCTGAATGTCTTTCTGGGTCTTGGGTGTCCAACTACCACCTTGGCTCTTCACTTCATGGTTGCTAACACCAGGGGAAGGAATCTCTACAGATGTCCCGCTCGGAAAGGGACTTAGGGAATGGTGGCGAGGAGCGAAGGCTCGACGATGACGACCGCGAGAACTTGGACCGCTTTAAGTGGACGACGGAACTAAAGAATGAGCTGCTGCTTTGTTATGAGAACTGTAGCCTGCGTCGAAGGGGCTACACGTCTCAGATGTATGAGAGGCGAAATGCATCTAGAGCATAGCCCACTTACCTCTTAGAATTTGCGGGATTTTGCTTCTCCAGGGACTGGAAGGCCTGTTGCACAGGCTGAAAGGTCACCGTCAAGGTTCGCTGAGAGGGAACGACACTTCAGTTATTCATGGGGATCTTAGTGATCAAAGGGCCTTACATAACGTCAGGGAGGACTTGAAGCAAGAGGACGTGGTTCTTGACAAGCGCCTCTTGGAGGACTCTCGGAGGCGTATCACTTGTGAAATTCACGCTGCGGCTGTGAGCTTGTCTGAACAAGACAGAGTGAGAGCCTCTATAAAGTCGCATCAACCATATGTTACTTTTAATCACCTTACTGGTTCTATCTACAATTAAAATATCTCCCTCTCCCAGTGAAACACCATGTATATAACCCCCGTGCTCCAAGCAAAATGCCAAGGTGCGAATCAAGAAAGGTGTCTACCCTCTCGAGAACGCTGGCGACCGACAAATCATCGCTGAGAGTGGAACAAAAAGTGGAACATATTGCGGGATGATTTGTAGTTCGCGGCCGTCCATTTGTCAACCAACACAAAAATAAACACTCCCCAATCACGGAATATTGCCTCCGATAGCAGCTTGGGCACCGTTTCATATTTAGAGGTCTATTTTTCAGTTTTTAACCTGCTTCGTTAACCGACTGGTCGTAAACAAAATTTATCGTGTCCTGGCTGAGGCCGCCCTTATCCAGAGTTATTGACCATGTTAGGGATATATTTATCTTTCATTGATTTTTATGGGAGCTGCGATCAGTATGTCGGTTTCTTATAGACATAGTCTGGTAGTTAAATATTTATATCTTACAACGTTTTCTGTTGGCGAAACTGGTGCTGTTCTGGTATGTGCAGAGTGAGTTTTTGGTGTGGGGGCTCGGACGATAACTCCGTTATTACTCATGATACTAAAAAAAAAATACAAAAATTGTAGCCAACACTATGCTTCGGACCTTTTTTATTACCAATACCCCCGCCTAGGATGAAGTAATAAATATTTACCATTATGGTCAGGATATCTGGATGCATCGAAGGTGCATCTACTTTGTTTATGTTATAGTTATCAAGTAGAAACTCAAGGGAGAGAGCCTGGGATAACGGGGAACATTGAGTACCGCGCTTTAACGCTGAATGCGTAGTTAATCAAGTTTGCGCCTATTTATTATTGGTATTTACGAATAACTCGAATTATTTTGAGTGTTTCGGTTTATAACATCAGAAAGTGAGATAGAACTCGCTCGTCTTGTCGGCCTAAATGAGTTTTAATTTGGTACGATTCCGAAATCGTATTTACTGCTTAGGAAGCTATCCCAAACAAAATAGATCTGCATTTTCGGAGTGCCCCAATGGTCTTAGTCGTTTGAAAAGTAATTATACGTGTACCTTTTCGTGATTGTAGTCGTGTTTGTAGTCGAAACCATGTCAATCGCATCTCGTGGCTGAACATACGTAGAAATGTTTTGCGAGACGGGGTTAGCCATCTTCAGATAGATGCATTACAAACTATGATTTGGCGTAAAAGCGAAATGTACAGTGAGATGCCTTGGGGTAAAAACGAAATGAACTGTGAGATATCTAGCTTGATCTTTGACATGAGCATTGAGTAGGTTTACTTGCATACGCCGATGCGACGAGATGTATTGAGAGATGCGATGGGTGAAAGATTTGATAGTTGAGAGTGCTGATTCTAGTTTGATGAGTAGAAGTTACGCGAGTTTGCGATTGGGTGTTGTATGGGAGAGCTGCTAGAATGATAAAGTGTAGCTGGATGAAGATAAAGAGAAGGGTTAAGTTCGAACACTGATGTATAGTTGATCTATAGAGATGCGGCAAAACACTATATGATCATAAGCTTATGAGGAGGGACACTGATAAGGCAAATGTGCAGACAGATAGTACTGAACAACGAGGTTCTGCTAAAAAGTTGTGAAATCGTTGAGAAGTGTATACATATTACAAGCAAAAAAAAATAGGAAATGGTCCTACATCATGTTTTGGAGGTTACCTGGCAAGGGATTTGCAGCTAGCGCGATTTCAAGTCGGTGGTTATTTTACATAAGATTTGCAGCTAGCGGGATTTTGAGTCAGTGGCAGGAATGCTTGTTCCGGAAGTAGTTGTATCCAGTATACAACTTCTTTCAAGTGATTCTACACGCGTTAAGGAATACCTCAGTACCGATTGCCTGGTGGCGGTCCATCAACGGGCCATCTGTTTAACATCATTACATGCGAAAAGGAGGTGGTAGACAAAGACCCGTCGACCGAGGCGATAGCACCCGCTCGCTTTTACCAGGGTGTCTTATAAATGTCCGCATGTTTAGACACCTAAGCTATTCAGTCGGTTATCTTCCAAAACCAAGAAATTAATGGTGATGGATCCCTCAGGCACTAAGAATTCCGGACCTAAACTCACTCCATTCTCGGAATGTCCGGGTGGAGGGTGGGCTCGATGGAACAACATCGAAGATAAAATTTGTTTTACGAAGATCTGCTGGATTAACAGCAACATTGATGCTGTTCATCACTACCTGCAATCCAATCGTCCCGCCATGCTTTTCTTGGCGGAGACAAAAATCTCATAGTCTGCACCCATTAACCATCTTAACTTTCCAAATTGCGAGGTGGGGAAGTTGTGGCTTTTGTCCGCAGCAGTCTTTCCTGCTCCAGAGATGTTTCTTTGGAATCAGACCGGAAGGGAATTCTGTGGCTTCGCCTCAACTCCAAAAGATCACCCAAATTCATATGCTGCTTTTATCGCTCTCCCTCGAACCATAACAGGGAGGACCTATTTCAATACCTCGCCGTCAAGATGGACTTCCTGAACATCAATCACCTTGCGTCCGAGGTAGTCCTTCTTGGTGATTTCAATGCCCATAATGAGCTTTGGTTAGGCTCAAACAAGTCCGATGCAACAGGTCGTGCAGTCGAAGCGTTCGCTGTTACTGAAGGGCTGACCCAGCTGGTACCGAGCCCTGCTTTTTTCCCCCGCGTCTCGTCACTTGCCAGTAGCCTGCTGGATCTCTTTCTGACCACGCATCCTGTCCCTTACAGCACTGCTGTCCTGTCCCCCTGGATATCTCAGACCACGGTGTTGTAGAGGTTAGGTTTCGATCAGAAATCGCTGTGGCAGCAGAAACTCATACTGGCCGCAAAACTTGGCATTACTGACCTGCCGACTGGAAGGGACTCAGGGACTTCTTCTCCACCTTCCCCCGTCTGTTTCACTGATGCGGATGCGTCGGCTCTGTTCTCCGACAACAGAAATTATCCACGTCGGAATGGAGGAATACATCCCTCACACAGTGAAAGTGACTAAACCAGGGTCCAATGCCTGGTTTAACAAATGGTGCTCGCCAGCAGAAGATCAAGGGACACAGAAACTTCTTACGAAACCCCACTGTAGAGAACAGACAAGCCGACGTCGAGTGCAAAAACAAGTATAACGAAGCGGTTCGCAATGCCAAAAACCAGCACGATTAAAAGTCAGACACAGAGTAAAGTCAAAGCGCAGTGGCAGTCGGTCTTTCTGGACGCTGGCCAAGCCTATTGAAAAGGACCTCTCACACAGTAGCCTTCCACCACTTACGTATCAGGATGGAACGATTGTATTCGACTCAAAGGCCAAGGCGGAAGTACTTGCCAAGATCTTTACTGCCAACTCTACCATGGACCCCAACGTCCAAGTGTTGTAAATTCAAAGGGTTCCCTACACTATGCGGAAGGTGGCATTCAGGCATAAGACCATAAGTCGAGTGCTCTTGTCAATCGACATCAACAAAGCTTTCGGACTTGATTCCTGCCATTTCGCACCGGCGGGCCGTCGGCGATCTAGCTCTTTACTACCGCTACACCAACGGGCTTTGCTCCTCAGAGCTCTCTTCCATGATGCCGCCGCACGATATGCCTACCAGACAGACCCGCCTGACTTTGGCGTCACATCCTAACCGTGTCGAACTTAGTACCTCCAGAACTGGCCGATACG